CTTATCTCAGCAACTGTAGCAAAGCCGCTCTCTGCCATTGAACACAGGAGCAGCAGAAGCACACTTGACTGGACCTCAGGCATGTTTGACGCTCCTGAGGCCGTCTGACCTTAATGTGTACAAGCATCAAAGATGAAGCAGCAGGGACTTTTTTTGATGCTCTAAGTGTGTATAGTGTGAACTTAGCATTACACTTACTCATTGTTTGAATTAACCTATAAAACATATTATTGTACCTAAAAATCATCTCATCTTCCTTATGAAATTTCCACTTCTAGTCAAGTACACATACTTCCCATAATCAGGACAAAAGTAGTGTTGTAACAAAAAACAGACAAAAAGTTAGCTGCACTCCACCTCAAAATGCAGGAAATGGCATTTCAGAGAGTCTAAATTTCATAATTTTCCTGAGGAGGATACCCCCCGGATGCCTCACCACTGTGCAAAGCCTAAAGATGTGATACACCAAGATGTACACCCTATGAAATATTCCTATTTAAAAGCCTGCTTCCATCTCAACAAAGATTAATCTGGATATATCTAACGATTTTACAAAAAGATAACTTTGCTGTTTTTTCTTAAACACTTTATCAAATAATCCTATTGCCTTCCTATAAAAATCTGTTTCACTAATATATTCCAGACATTGAGAGCAAAGAGAACATAAACGCTTAAAAGTATTGAATAGTTAGCTAATCTGTGTTGTTATTGAACACAGTGATGAATGATAAACAGTAGATTTTAATGTGTGCAGTCTTAACTGAAGGTCTTTTTAAAACCCTACTTTGTTCTACTGAAGTGTATCACTTTTAATATTCTAGTTTAAGTGAATCAAGGAAGCAAGTTTTTATCCCAAGTGCAAAAGTTTTTATTCTCATATAAGGTGCTATTGATGACAAAAATACCTATGAAGTTTCACTTTTACTTTCTTCAAAGCAGAGTAAGATTCCAAAGGAAACAACCTGCATATAAATACACTTATTAGTGAAGCATGATCAAGTTTAGGTTTTAACAAGTCTAACCACTTTAGATTTTGTACTTCACATTATCAAATGTAACTCTTGTTACTAGAACAAAGACATAATAGCAAACAGAACTGTTGTAAAATATTCCTTTAGTGCAGAACCGACTCAGTATTTCCTTGACAGACCAGATATTTTTCGTCATTAACTCTTTGTCTTTTATTTGGCCAGCTAAATTGGCAGATGCAGATATTTTGTTTGCAATATATCTGAGGGTAGTTCAAATTATCCACTTTTAGGCAAAATGGAGAGAAAAAGGTTCCTCTAGCTTTATCGATTCAGAGCTCTGCAATTGACGTGATACATTTTGATTGCAACGTTTCAACTGCTCTTTGCTTTGTTGAACCAAGCTTGTGTAGGTGGAAAAAAAAAAGTCATCTGGCTAATACTAATACTAATCAACATCATTTTTATATTCAAGGAGATGCATCATTAGTACTAGGACTGGAAAATAAACTGCATTTGCAATATAAAAAAATCCAAATTGCATAGCCAACAAAATTTAATAAGCTTTGCTGCTATACATTCTCTAAGAAAAGAAAAAATGAGAGCTGGCGTGCTGCTCCATGCATAAAAGTAAACATTTTTACATGCAATACTAGAGTTCTGTGATTTTATTGTATTCTTTTTTTCCACAAAAATCTGGAAGGCTTATATTTATCAAGCTTCATGGACAAAAAATAACAATATTCTACAATGTTCAATATATTTCTTCACCAAATATGATTCCATATTGTGTGGTGGAATTTGCATTATTTGTAGGAAATTAAATGATCTCATCAGTCAAGTTTTTTTAAGGTGCCTGTTTATCCTTTAAAGTCAGCTGTGTATAAGCATGAAATTATTTCAAACATGAGGATACGGGTCCTCTAGGTCTTGAGTTAGTCACTCAGATATGTAGTGAATGTAATCCTGTTTTTTTCCTTTTTGTGAAACAAAAAAAATCCTTCAGTCTTTTTTATTTTAATTTCTACTCTTCCTCATCTTAGCTGTTGTTCGTCATTGTCTTAATCTTCTGTAAACTAGTGTTGTGCAGACTGTATTATAGGCTACTTTAAAACAGAAGTTTCTGTTGTCAGGTTGCTGTTAATGAAGGCTGATGAGTTGTTAAAGTGTGAGTCATTGATATTTATTTTGTAGGTGGGTTATGCAGCACTCCGGCCACCTGAACTGTAGCTCGCAGAACAGCAGGAACACACAAACATATTATTTAATCAAACTCTTGGCTCTTATTAAAACAACAGACAGCAAAAATAAAGGAAGGAAGAAAGTGCTGAAGCCAACTGAGGAAGGAGGATGGACTGATGGGGTTGTTTTAGGTTGTCATTTGTGGCACATTGCTTATTCATTTTTGCCATTGTGTGGATTCAGGCAAGAAGTAGATGATTAAGCTTTCTCCTGCAGTATTAATGGTTTGTGTTGGTACTATTGCTGCTGCAGCGCTGTTGTGGTTGTGTTCCTGTCCTCGGGTTATTCTTGAGTGTTTGACTAGGGACCAACTAATTGGAAGAAGTCCTGGAGGAGCACAGGAGAAAGAAGTGGGGAAGAGGTCGATGAGAAGTAGGGAAAACTATTGTGGGTAGAGTTAAGTGTTTCACATTCTAAGACATCTAGACTGACTTTATTTGCAGTCCAGTGTATCTGTACCAATGCAGTACATAATTTGAAATAGTTTGATTTATTGGCTCTTTGAAATCATATCAAGATATATGAAGTAAATGCATTCCATGCACCCCAGAAAAGATTATGCTAGTCCAGTTTTACCAAGATGATATTATATGATACCTCATTTAAAGTGCAGCCACTTTTCTATTTTAACTCCATAGCTGTGAGTCAAAAGAAATAGAAAATTCCAGAAGACGTGGATACTTTTACAAGGTACTTTTACACTTGACACTGAAACTCTGGTGGAACTTGTTGTACATCTACAGGATGTAAAACAAGTATTTTAAATTAACAATGTTTTAACAAATATTCAAATGTATTTTACATGTATTTAGAATACATTTAGGTGTTTTTTTTTTGGCAGCTGTACATGCTTCAGTACCAGTGTACCTAAAACAACACGGCATGCTGCTATGATAGTGATTTATTGAAGCTGTAAACCCTAAGATTACAGTATAGTGAGTTATAGGTGTTGCTCTTTTGTAGAACAGAGATAAATGTCCTGTCATGAGGTATAAAATGGACTATTTTACATTCTTCATGCTTCTTCCAATGATTTGATATTGCTGTCAATGGCTATAGAATAGGTTTGAAATGTGTAGCTAGTGTCATGCATTGAGAAAGGCAAAAGTGGATAATAAAGATCTACTTAATTGTGAATCGCTTTGTACCATTCAAAGTACCTGAATTGTGGAAAAACAAATGAGGAAGAACATTATGTTTAAAGTAACATTACAAGACAGATGATGCATTTGAGGAAATAAAACAATAAAATTGCATTTCAGTTTAATAAAAAAATGCAAAAAGGTCAAATCAGCCAAATTTAAGAGACTATATAAGTAATATTTGTTTTGTTTCTTTATTCCTGTTCTTTTTACACAGCAGAGTTAGTGCTTACAAAAAAAAAACACAAAAAAAAATCTGCTAAATATTTAAGGTAGCTCACTTATTGGCTAAAGTATCTTGTTTTTCATTGTTGTATATAATTGGTAAGAACCACAAAAGTGAGGAAAAACTAACATTCCTCTTTAAATCTTCTTTAGATATTACCTTACATAAATATCTCTCAAGAAGAGGTGTGGTGCAGGGTTGGGGGGAACAGCCTATGTAAGAAGGCTTCAGTTCTTGAGAGAGATTTTCCAGATTTTATTCTCAACCCGTAATTACTTTTTCTTTACGTCTTCTCCTTCTCAGTAGTCCATTTTGAAATAAACTGCACTATAGTGCCAGCATAATTAAAAGGAAGATGTTTGTGGATAACCTGGTAGTATCCAGATTGATATGTGTAGTTGAGTTCCATGTTATCAGTCTGGGATGGCTGCCGTTCAGCTTGTCCAATAAAAGGAGGGACGTTTACTACAATACTTTGAGCTGATTGGGGGACGTGCCAGCTAGTACCCGCCTTCCATAATACGCTTTCAGCCAATAGTAGCAGGGAATTGTGATGTTTTTACAGCTAGCGGAATAAGCTGATAAATCACAGCTTTTTCAAGTCCTGTCGGGGGGGGGGGGGAAAGCACAGCCATCTTTCCCATCTACAAATTCACAAAATACTTATCTTTGCTCCATTTTTAAACGACAATTATTGTCGATATTTTAGCTTTAACCGAGTCAATTGCGACAGGTGAATCCCCCGGCGTAGCCATGGTTGTCATGCCTAGGCAAGGCTCTTCTGACTGTCGTCATTCTTACATGTCCCGCCCCAAAAAAACACTGCTGGCATGTCATTGGTCCGACTCACTGGTTTTTACAAGACTGACGTATTAGCAGGAGTTTCAAGATGGATTTGTTGTGAGACTAAAATCTCAGATCTTGCAACAATCCAGCTTGCAGAGCAAGGTTAGGTGGTGGATGAATAAAAAAATGTGTAATAAAATATATATATACATATATATAGTTGCATTTTTTTGTTTTTGTCTGATTTAGAGGAATGGGAGGATGAATCCCTTAAATGAAAACAGAAACAGTATTCAGTTAAAGTTGAATGAGGGACTCCTATTTTACATAATAAACAGTTCTCCGTTTCAGTTTTATGAACCCTATAAACATTCTGGTGTAAAGTTCTGAGAAGTTTCCGTAGTAATCTTTTAATCCGAAACTATATAATCAAATAAGAATTTTTTTTTATACATTATACTTCTGAAAACACAACTATGTACTGTTTTTGTCTTTGTAAAATGGATGTTGTCAACTTAAAGGAGGCTAATGAAACGGGTAAGTGTGTATAGCACAGTGAAAGTCCTCTGTGCTCTTGACCCCGTTGTAGTGATAAGTGAGCCTTCATCCTCCAACAATGTGTTGTCTTTCTTTCAGACTATCATGGAGCAGTTCAACCCTTGCTTGCGGAACTTTGTTGCCATGGGGAAGAACTATGAGAAGGCCCTCGCCAGTGAGTCCTTTCTTTTCCTTCATTCATTTTTTTTTTACTCTGCTTCACTGTAGGTTTAGGCACTCAGCCAAGGCAGCACTCTGTTTTTAGCTTTCATATATCTACCTGTCTTTGTGTTTTTCATGAAAACTGGATTATCATTATCCACATGTAGTGTAGCCAGGCTTTTTATGAGATACACTGCCTCTATCATAACTTGTATTCTTTGATAGGAAAAGAAAAGCAACCAAAAAAGAAGATATTTCGAGGTCTTTCGTTTCCTCTTGGATTACAGTGCAATAAAACCTGAAACTTAACACAACCCCAACCCCCATGCATCAAACTGGCCAAATCATCAGCAGAGATTGTTTTCCCTCCCCAGGCCAACACTGCTATTCCCTTACACACACAATAAATACCCCTGGACTTGGTGTGCCTTGGGAACAGACTGGTAGGGGTTCACTGAGCCATTAAAGACCTACCTTGCAGAATCGGCTCAACCCAAGGGACTTAGCACGCTCTGGGAGGACACATTTCTATCCATATGGTGCAATCTCTGAAATTATTGAAACTACCAATGTCCGCGCAAGGCTTGTGGGATCTGGATGCAGAAATATTGTAGTATTTGTTTTGTCTTTGTGCAGATCTTGTTATTTTTTTTTTATTCATAAGATAAAAAAAAAAAAAAACATCAGTGAAATTTTGTACAAAGCAAACAGAAAGTATATTTTCCGATATTGTTGTCTTTTATTCTAACCAAAATGTTGTTTATACTATAGAGTTGAGGTTGACTGAGACTTTGAAATAAGCTCTTTTTGTCTTCTTAAACCTTACATTAAGATCTGTTAATCCCCTCCATCTGTCTCATTAGACCCCTCACTAGACATTTTGTTATTGCTGTCAATATATTTCAAGGCTCCGTGTTAAATCATTTATTTAATAGTGCCCTTGATATTCCACATCCTGCAGCTTTTGCATTATCAGCAAGACTGTCTGTTGCTTTGAAATCTGTTTTTACTCACACCATCATTTACACCCAGCGCTGTGGCATTCCTGTGCAAACTGAAAAGAGCTGACTTGCTTTTATCCACACTCTCCGCATCAAAGCAAACACAGGGAATGTTTGGAATTATGAATTTGAGGTGGAGAAAGAAATTACAAAAGAAAAAAACACATGCCATGCTTTGCCATTGGTTCAGCTGTAAGTGGTACCAACAGTAGCATCTGTCTTTCTGCTTGGAAGCCTTCTTCTCTGATGGGATGTCTGCATCTGCCTGTTAGAATTAGCCTGTCCATGCCATTCTATTGTAAATGTGTCCTACACCTGGCAGGTGTCTCCTGGTCCAGTCCAACCTGTCATGTGCACTGCTGCTGAATTCACCTTCAAAAGCAGTAGCCATTATTCTCCATAGATTGGAGGAGAACCACTGGGCAGTCAAACAGGAATTCTTTAAAAACTTGCATCTGTCCTGTGTGACCTTAAGTGCCAGCATTTTGAATAATAGGGTTTGGATGCTTATTGTCCTTTAGAACCCTGATTTATCCTCATTGAGTTCAGGTAAAAGAAGTTAATGCTACTGGTTAGTTAACATATTATTTTTATACATATATTTTTGTGCAAACACTTGAATAAGAGTTTATCAAGCATTTTCTGTATTACTAAGACTATAGGGAGGTGCAGGGGTTATTTCTATTACAGCCAGTGCTTTTCCAGCTGTAAACAGACAGCTGATTCTAGGCACTTAGTTGTTTGCAAGTTTAATATGAACAAATTAGCCATTGTAGAAAGCAATATGTCAAAATGAAAGCTTCTTAAAACACATTCATTTTTGTCATGATACAATAAGATAAATTACTCGTCCAAACCCTCAGAGATCAAAGCAGTAAAGTTTCAAAGTAATTGAAAGAGGTCTAAAATGGCCTTTTAACTGAAAAACAAATAACTATACTAGTGGTAGAATATGACGTATCAATTGTTTCAGCTATGTTTAATCTATTAGGGTTAATCTGAATGTGGTCCAAAAAAAATCAGTCAAAATAGGGACAAAAGTATGCATATTTTTGTTGATTAGAGTATTTATTTTTTTATGATCATGCCAGTTTTTGAACCAGATGGTTTATTGTTTATTACATTATCATATTAAAAGTTAAACCATAGGAGCGTCATGATAGCAAGATGTTTTTGAATTTGTAGTGTTTTAAAACATCTGTGTTTTGCACCTTCATACCAAGAACCGCTCCATGCTTAAACTTTTCCACAATTAACCAAAGCATGTTTCCTTTAGCTGCAAACCCCCCCACCACTCACATCTTCACCACCTGGCTCTAATCTTTGTAAAGAACTCTATATGCTCTAATTCATTCATCCTTCAATCAGCTCTCTCCCCAAGTGAGGGTCTCTGCCTGCTCACACGGCAGGTTAAATGGAAAGGAAGACTGAAAATGCCAGGTAGCAGCATGTGGTTAACAGCCTGTAATGCTGCTTCTTTGATGAAGCCGTAATGTTTTCTTTGAGCCGTTATTGATTCCTTTGTTAGCCGTTGCTCTCACATCGAAATCAGCCTCAGAATGAAAAATGCTTTACTTGATTTTTTTTTTTACTCCAAATGATTGATCGAATTTTGATTTTTGACTGACACTGTCTAAATTGCTTTCTACAGTCTTTTTTTTTTCTGTTTCTGCTTAAGGTTGTCCTCTCAAACTTCACATTAAGTCAAAGAGCTCATGCTGTGGATGTTTTGAACACAGTTTAACATATGCACAGTAATAAATTGGGTGGTAAGAATTCAGAGTTAACCTATTTAACTCTAAATGGAGTATTTACAACTACACTGAGTGTAAATCTGCTCAAGTGTTAATCTCAAGTGTTAAGAGTTAATCTGTGTAAAATTTGACAGCAATGTAGTGTAACTACTTCTCTATATGGTTTTAATTACCCACCAGTCTCCGAGAGACAAGTTTGACACTTATGTGAGTAAAATAAATTTTTTTTAAACTGACAATGACTATAGAATACATTTTACAATAATTAAAAATGTGACCAAATGTTATCTGCAACAGAGTTATATTCTACTCTGTATGTGTTAAAGTAACAGTGTTTTTTTTTTTTTACCTTGTAAACCTCTTATAGAGCTGGCCACTTACAAATGGAGTATTTCAAAGTGACTGCATTTTTTGCACCTGCTTTAATTATATTTTACCCACTTTAACAACAGACGATTTGCATATATTGTTTTTAATCTCAAATTTGGGTTGGGGAAAATAAAATAATGTGACTCTAATAGATCCAGCAGCAGAAGCTGCACATAATAGTTCTGCTTTAAGCAGGCGACACATTTGACAACACATTGTCAACAATTGAAATGGGTTTAATATAAAATCTTAAGTAAAATAATTACGCTTTTGAAATGTTCAGATTATATCTATGAACTTTTAAAAACTAATAGAAATAAAGACATGCTCAGGTTCATGGATACAATAGGATTTCGGTTTGGAATTAAAAAGAAAATTGTGGCAGACATATTACAAATGAATGGAATGTATTTAAAAAAAAAGAAGTAGAAAAAATATTGAGGAAAGAAAATGAAAGTATTTCCAACTGTTTCCAGCTATTTATTTTGAGAGGTTTAGAGCAAATACAACACAAGCATGCATGGATATAAGTAGAAATATCCATGGAAACCAAATGTAGTATCCCCAAAACAAGTAATGATTCCAGTTCAATTAAATATAGTGTTTTTATTACAGTAGCGTGTTTGTTTGAAAATCTCTTGCTTATTTAAATCAAATATCCACCTTTTAAAGTATTTAATGAGAGTTTGCCAAAATTATGAGAAATATTTTATTAATTTTTTTGCAGTTATTTCCATTGAGCAAGGTTTTGCAGATATCTCAGTCAGGAAGTTGGTGAATCTGTTTCTAAAAAACTAAATTGTTTACATTCAGTTCTTTCAAAGTAAGAATTTTTTTTATGTTTTTTTTTTTTTGCAGGTGTAACATTTGCTGCAAAAGGATACTTTGATGCTCTGGTCAGAATGGGCGAACTTGCCAGCGAGAGTCAAGGATCCAAAGATTTGGGTAAGTCACCGACATACTTTAGGTAAACTCAGTACTTGTTGCCACTTTCTCTCTTAATCTGTCTATGTTAGCTTTGCTTGCATTGACATTGCCTTTTTATACACCTCCATAAACAAACATTTGCTTTCTATGTTGAACAGCGTTAAAAAATAAATGTGTTGGTGGAATGACGGAAGTAATTTTTTTGTTTTTGAATCTGATTTTTTTTTACGGAGTTGTTTTTATTAAAAAAACCAATTAGCTTTTTGATTGTTCACCAAACAAAAACATAATCAGGAAACAAAAGCCTAACAGCTATGCATAAGCTGGAAGTTGAAACTGATTTTTTTTTTTTTTTTACTAGTTTAGATGATATTTTGAAGGCTAAAGGTTTTGTGTAAAACAATAGGATGCACTAGGTAGTATGCAAGGGTATTTGCTTGGTCACAAATATCTTCTATTTTTTAATTCTTTTCTCACACTCAAATTTTTTAGATCATCAAACACATTTTTATGTAACATAAAGAAAACCTTAGTAAAGAAGAAAAAAAAAGCATTTCTTAAGAGTTTATTATTGTTAGAGGAAAAGGTATTTTAAACAAACCTCTTCCTATATTACAGAATTGGTGCACTTAAACTTTATCAATATAAAAAAACAAACATCAAGCTTTTAAATAATAACTGTGGAGAATGTTTGGTTCACTGTTCTGTCCAGAATTGGTTTAATTCTACAACATTTAATAATTTTTGAGCATGTTTGTTATGTTCTAATAATCCCAAAACATCTTAATCCGTTTTGTCCAGACTTTAACAAAAGCTTAATTGTGTTTTTTTTTTTTTTTTAGAGATGAACTTTTGAACTTGCGGCAAAATAAACGTGAAGCTTACAAGCTAATTGCACAACATTCTCCTTCATTTTTTATGAAAATGACATTTCAAATCCTATTTAGACTAATCACTTTTTGTGAAATAATGTCATTTTAGATTGGGATGTTTCTCCTTCTAGATCATAATATTCTGGCAATGATCAAAATAGTTTTGTTATGGCTTGATAACAATTTTACTGGATTATCTATCTATGTATATAGTTTTAAGCCAGACAAGAAAGGTGGAATCAGGAGCAACTTTTAAAGTGGCAGATAAGTTTTTACAGCTCGGGTTACAGGGAATCTGTATTCTACAAACTTTCAAATCCTTCAAAAAAGTAACACTTCTCTCACTCATACAAATATTTTTTTAGCTGGGTAAAGTCTTTGTATTGGCACCCGTCCTCAGCACATAGGAGATCAGCTAAAGCTGAAAGAAATTCCCTTTGCACTGATTGTTCTTTTAACTGCTTGATCTGCTTAGAGGTAGCCGTTGATTTGACAGGGCCTTTGTTTCAGTGGAGCTGAGATCCTCTTTGGGTATCTTCCCACCCAGCCACCAGGGACTGACATGAAAGTGCTTGCGGGATGTTTTATTCAGTGTGTGACCCAGTCTCACTGTTGTGCAGCATCTGTGAGGTTTTCCATTGGTTAAATTCATAACACTGCTCCCAAGCCTGTCTCATGAAATATGTGCTGTAGAATGTTTATTTCAGTGTTTCTGTTTTTTTTTTTTTTAGACAAAGTTGAGTTTAGTCTTTTTCTTATCCTTGTCAATTTTGTAATTGCACACATCATGGTGATGTTGTTTAATCACAGAATGAGTTCCACCTTGTGTGCTGTTTAGCTTCTGTGAAGTATAGAAAATCTGTGTACTTCCACCAGTGAAAGGGAAAAAAAAACAGAGCGCCCCAATCTCCGTCAGCTCTGCATCAAGCAGGAACTCCATCATTTTGGTGCACAGAAATTGTCCCTTATCTTTCACCTAAGGGAACCCATCCAACCTCTGGTACAGCCAACCCTTTGTTCTTCCCCAATTACCCCCTTACCTGCAGACAATGGAAACATAATAGGAAATGCTCATTGCAGGGTCATCACGGTTGTTACATGATTAGTAATCATAAAGTAAATAACAGTGAATGTTTCAGATGATGAAACTAAGTAAATTGAATCAATTGATTGATACAAAAAAGAAAGTTGGACTCCAAATGTAAACTAATAATGTTTAGATGACTTAGTCAAAGGTTGCTTTAAACAAATAGGATTTTAAATTAATAATTGATTTATAGCAATTTAGGTTTTCAGCAGTTTTACCGTTTTCTCTGAGTTTGTTCCAGATTAGTGGAGCGTAAGAACTAAAAACTGGTTTGGTTCTGGTACTGTGGACAGACCTCAGCCTGAAGACATCTTTCTGAGTGTCATCTGCTCCATCAAACTGCTTGTTGGTTTTGGGAACCAACTTTATATTTTTGATGTAAACTATAACTCGGACAGGTCTAAAACGTAACCTATAAAGTCTGGTGGAAATCGTGGGCTTTTCAGAACCTTCTACTCACAAGATTTGTGGTTGATTTAAGAAGATTCTGCTGAAAGGCCTTTACTGCCAAATAAGTTTGGGCCTATGACATTTGCAGTCTATCAGCTAGCACAATAACTAGTATAGGTACCTGCTATGACCGTAATACTGTATTTTAAATGCATTGAAAATCACTTTTTTTTTTCTTTCATTATGTGAACTTCCATTGCACCTGTTTCTGTTATTCGTGTGAAGAGCCATGTTATTTCACTCCTTTCTTAAAGATCTTTCATTTATAAAGGATCAAGTGTGCTATAGCCCGTTAAAGACAGGTGAGTGTGAAGTGGCAGTTTGGTTTTGGTTTTACATTTGCTTTATAAGCCAAGAGGCATATGTTATGCAAATGTTCTGATAGGGATGTTGATAGTGGAAAACACAAACATGATATTTTTTTTTTTTAAAAGCTGTGTTGTTTATTACCTCATTGCATGGACTATATATTTGAACATTTTGAATGGTACATTAGTGATATTCAATGTTAGCCTCTTTTTATCGCTTGTGCAGTATACAGTCTGAAAGTCCCCTACAGTACATGGCTGAATCTGTCCCAGGGGAAAGTTTGGCATTTTATTTTCCGGACTTTTTTGTAGCCTCCACCCTCCGGTGAGCTGCATTGTTATGACCCTTTGTTAGGAAAAAGCTCAGTTTCCTGTTTGTCTGACAGCAGGGTACGGAGATATCCCCAGATTGAAGGAAAATATCACAATCCATGAAATTCATATGTCTGAACTGAGAATTATATATATAAAAAAAAGACAGGCACCACTAACTTAACATTTATACATGCACATTTATACATGCACAATTTGTATAAACCTTGTTGCACCCCTTTTCAAAAGGCTTTTAATGCCACAAAAATTTCCCAAGAAATGGGTCACAATTTGCCCCAATTACACACATAAAAGCCACCAGAATTTGTCCAACTTCTCCATACTTTCATGCCAGTTTCTATGTAGTCATTTGGGCATAAAATAGAGACTGAATTTGCCTCATTTCCCTCTCTCTAATTCTGGTTATTCTCAGTAGGCCAGCATCAGATGTCTTTAGACAGGAATCCATTGCAGTATAGTGCATATATGTCATGAAAGGCAGTTATATTAGTATGCCTTTTCTGTGCATAAACCATGTGTCATCATCTGTTTGTTGGAGTGCTCCTAGAATCCACTTGTATATATCTCAGCCTTAAGAGACAGTCTCTATTTCTCCCACCAGTCCCACTACTCCCACACACTCCCGCCCACATATCCTCCGCTGGTTGTGCTAATCATCGCCTGTCACTTTGCCACCCACACACTCATGCATGCACATGCATGCTAACACATACAAACACAGTCTCTCCCTCTTTCTCTATCCATTTCCCACTCTTGCTCTTCTATTCGCCTGCCCTCCTCTCTTGTATTTATCCTATGGAAGATGTGAGCACTTACTCCCTCAGTGACAGTTGCGGATTTCTAGCCTTTAAAGGAAATGCTTTAGTCGTAAGGCAGAGGATATCTAGGATGTTCTAAACCAGAAAAAATAAAAGACTAGTTCTATAAAAGCTGAGCTCCTGCCAAGTTGATTTTGCGGAAATGCAATTAATTTTATGTCATTGGGACCTTTATTGTTGTTAAACTGTATATAGATTGGGGTTGTCACAATTGTTAAGAGGTGTTAATAACTACAAAAAAGTAATAAACTATAAGAACATACTCTAAACTGCTGTAGGTTTTTGCCTGCTAAAAGATGCTGCAAAGCTTCATTATAACGAGGACAAATAGTCTGAGTAGGAAATCTCAATAGTTTTTGTTTTCTCCAGTCAAACATTTTTAGAAATAACTTTGCTTTATCCATGTTTAAAACTTTCAAACTTTAGATGTTATTAATATTTCACTCAAATATGATCATTATACTTAAAAAGACTATTTGTGACGTCTGCACTCTGATGTTTTGAATCTTCTTGCTTTATTTAGCAGGACTTTAAATGCAGTCATACAGTCATACCAAATAAGTAGACCAATAAATCTATTAAGTTAAGTGTATGTTAAAAACAACAATATATTGAAAATGCATCATCCCAAATGTGTGTGGATTTGCTCTTGATAGAACATCATTCTTACCGCATAAGCCTGTTGTATTGGTATTATGAGGTTGCCTTCATGAGGTTGCACAAGTTTTTTTTACTTATGTTGTAAATCTAAAACATACAATCTGGATAACTGTATGCCATTTGAGTTTTTCCATCACTATATTGGCTTTTCTTCCCTCTCTCTGATAAGGTGGAGGTACCAAACTGGCAACTTCCCTAAGCTAAAATGTTGAGGGGTGGGTCAGTTTAGTGTATCATGCCGGGAGAAATAACATTTAATTTAAAACAAATCTGCAACTCTTTGTATTTATTGCTGTAATTTGTCCCGTCTCGATCGTAGAGGTTTAAAAACGCACTTGGTTATTATCTAAAGGAATAAATGAGAGTTATGCAAGGAAAGTGAGGCTGCAAACTGATGATGCAGGATTGTCTTTTTGGGTTAATGGGTCTGGGACATTCACATGTATTTTCTGCTGCTAAATTGCTGCAGCTCAAAAAAATTAATCACCTGGAGCAAAAGGTTAGTGCTGCTAGATGAGGTGTTGACTCTGACATGCTGTATCTGAACAAACAC